CATTACTGCATCCTCCAGTCGTTTCTTGTGCTCGCGCAGCGTTGACAGATCTCTGTTTAATCTATCTAAATCTCGATCGGTAGAATGGCAGCACTGCACTTGCGGGGGCTCCACCCTGGAAGTAAAGACACCGCAGTCACATTCAAGTAATCAGGAAGAGAAGCGGATGCATATCAAAACAATAGCAACTGCCTGGCGACCATGGCACTGCTTATAAATGAAACGCTACGATTCACCGTGAGATATCTGATAATCAATTTAAGAAAATTCAAAGGTAATTTCAACGTCAATAGAGATTAGTTAATTTGTTTATAACAAACCACGGGACTTTGCCTAATACAAGCGTTGTCTACATATCCCTTTATAATATGAAAGCTTGATCTTCAGGAATTATAGCTCATGACTGGCTCGTCTCTCACCGCTCCGAATCGCGCGAGCAGACCTACCGTGTAACTTCTCTCCTCATATCCGCCCTCAGCTTCTCCTGCGCCGCCTTGTTCTCCTGCTGAAGCCTCCGGTGATCCTCGTCTCTCTCCCGTTCTACCCTTATCAAGTCGGATTCGTGTATTCTCGTCAGCGCTCCTTTCTGCTGGTCTAGAGCCTCGCGCTTCTCGTCCTCCAACCTGTGTCGTCACAACAAATTGTAATTAGTCACACCCTGTCTCCTTGTTGGCCCACTGCGTATTACCCTTCCTTCGGCCATCTATTTGTGCTACATTAATTAGTACATATCATGAGCTACAGATCGTGGCTCCGTCCACATCAGAGCGGTGTTATCATGAACAAGCACGAAGCTCTCTTTCGAAACCCACCTGTTTCTTAGGTCGGCCAGGAGTACTTCGGTCCTCCTGAGTTCTCCCTCTCTCAGCTGGCGCAGATTAAGTTCGTGCGTGCGCCTCAGTGCCTTCCTGGCGGTTATTTCCTCCTCCAGCCTTGTGCGTGCCTCGGACAGTTCGCTCTGAAGTCTGTGGATCAGGAAAATATAGAAATGCATTTGCAAGGTAACTGCAGTTATTGCAAGGTTTATTTGCTTTCTCTACACAATTTTTGCATCACATTATTCAATTTGCTTACTGCTAGCCAAAAATAAGAAGGTCGACGATGGCCTTACCTTTCTTTATCGACGTTGAGTCTGTTACACTCAGCCTGCAGCCGGTCCTTTTCAGAGTCGTACTTTTTGGTGAAGGTTCCCTCTCGTCTCATGGACGACAAACATACTCCCGACCACATGGAGCTCCTCTCCGGCAGCGGTCTCAGCGGCTGCAGGTGCAGGCTCCTCAAGGGGTCCCGACTCGGCCTTGAGCTCTCCTGCGGTTCCCTCGAGGTCACTTTCTTATCCCAGGTGACGCTCTTCGGGACTTTAGGGTCGGATTTCTTTCTTAAAACTTTCGTGTTCCTTTCTTCCTCTGAGACAGGGGATGCCTTAGAATTCGCAGCATCCCTGGACCTGGTGAGCTTCGGTCCTTTCTCGGAAGAATCCTGCGCCTTCATGGCGGTTCTCCAGGCGCTCACAAAAGTTCTTTTGGCCGTGTTCTTGAGCGATGTTACCGTCGAGCTTTGCTCTTGGGGCTTTTCGCTCGCGTCCTTTTTTCTGACGTCGTTTTTGGCTGGCTTCTGCGGGGAACGACTCTTTGACCTGCTACTCGGGCCTCTTTCTGCGCGTGCCTTCATCGCCTGCGTTTCTTCCGTTTTCTTCACTTCGCACGAGTCAAGGTCAACAAAGAAGATAACGGGTTCCCTGGAGTCGTCCAGAAGGGAGGACTCCTTCCGGCTGGCATCTTCGACAGCGTCGCAGGAAGACTTCGTGATCTTGGCTGGAGGGGGGCCGTCAAGGGTAAAGGTTCCCTCGCGCTTGACGGTCGCTTGGCAGGAGGTAGGATTAGATTCTTCCTCCGCCGAGGAAATTAAATTAATATTTTCTTTACTTAATTGTCTAGCGTGGAATTCGTCTTCTCCTCTATCTAAACATATTTCGAGTTCTTGGCCTTCCAGCACAGGGCCCTCCACGATGTAAATCTCGCATTCATTTGTTTTCGCGGAGGACCCTGCGTTGGCCGGTGCGGTTTCTTCGTTATCTATTAACAGCAAATCATGTTCTTTCACGAGGAAACCTGTATTGTTTTCGTTTTCGACGTGCGACGACAGGTCGTTTTCATTCTCCTGCGTCGAAGGAATTGGCATCGTTGGCACTGCTGCCTCCACGCTGACGTCATGATTGGCACTGTCAGCTGCGGCCGGGAGAGGCTCTGCGCTCGGGGACCCGCCCGAAGCAGCTGTGGCTGAGGGCTCTGTTGCATCACAGTCTGGAGAACTGACGTCACGTGCATCAACATGGTGCTTTGCGTCAACTTCAAATTTATTTTGTCCCTCAGGGAATGAAGGGAAGGGTTCCCTGGTCCTATCACAGTCTCGACTAGAGGAAATTTCTTGCTTATCTTTAAGGAAAGTCGCTTTTGTGGTATCTCGATTCTGACCGTCGTCGTTTCCATCTGTCTGTGTCTCTATGCTTGACTTCTTCCGCTTGGAGCGCTTCTTAAGAAGTTTCTTGATCTTGTGAGACAGCGCCCCGTCGTCTGCGTCTCCGTCGTGGGCGCTGACGGCGTGGGCCTCGAACACGCGCGTGTCGACCACGAGGCCGTCGTCGTCGTCGTTCGGGGAGAACTTGACTCTCTTCTTCTTGCGCTCCAGCGTCTCCGTGTAGGACTTCTCTCGCTTCAGCTTGGGCATCCTTAAGAAGGGGAAAGGTGTGCTCCTGTTCTCCTTCTCCTCCTGAGTCTCCTTCAGGTGTGTCTTCCCCTCTTCAGGGGCCTCGCAGAACGATTTCTCCTTCATCCCCTGCGGGGCCGTGGTCGTGGCAAGTCGTGCCTCCGAAGAAGCACGATACTGCTCACCGTCGTCGGACGGACTGTTGGGGAGGGTCGTCATTGTCGCGGGGGGTTCGTTGTCCGACACTGTGGCAGAGATCGTGGCTTCGACCGAAAACATTTCGCTAGTCGTAGTTTCTGAAACAGAGGAAGATGGCCATTACCTTATCGTCCGTGGACAAATAACAGTTTTTTTTTTTTATTCTCCAAACCTTTTTTCTCTCTCTCCGTCGATATCCTTAGTACAGTCAGCCTACTCTTACGATTAGCCTGTTCATCTGTATCAGTAATTGTTATCTGTTCATCTGCCACGTTCTTCCCCAATATATCAGTAACAGTAGTAACTGCAGAAGGAAAACTTCAACTTTATGTAAAAGTGTGTGTGTGTGTGTGTGTGTGTGTGTGTGTGTGTGTGTGTGTGTGTGTGTGTGTGTGTGTGTGTGTGTGTGTGTGTGTGTGTGTGTGTGTGTGTGTGTGTGTGTGTGTGTGTGTGTGTGTGTGTGTGTGTGTGTGTGTGTGTGTGTGTGTGTGTGTGTGTGTGTGTTGTGATTATATTGTGACAAGTACAGTACTATAATAAAAATAATTTAGGTTAATTCCATTTGTTACAATTGTTATTCTTGGTGTGACAGGATGTCTGCATACTTTTATTATAAATTCCTCCCTGTGTATAAGGAATGGCCGGGGTTACCATCCGCTTGCGGCGCGGGATTTGATCGCGAGACGAGAACCCTGCCACCACTGCACAGAAGTACATCACTTATACCACCATCCTTCGCAATCTATCAGAAGCATTTTCTGTTTGTGGAAATGGGTGTGTACATGCGACCTTTGTTCTGAACGCCGAATCAGCGCGAGAGATCCCACGGGTGCACTTCTCGGGTCATCATTTAATGAGCTAATTAAAATTTGTGTGAGAAATGGGTAATATTCAGCTACGGCCGATTTGCTCTACGAACAATTTTATCATTTGCCATGTCCATATCTCACGAACGTTTCATTCCTTCTGCTCTTTAATGTGGCATTTACATTTTTTTTTTGTTTTTGTGAGGAAACGATGCTAGTAAAAGAAATTGGAAATCTAAAAAATAAGTCACACAAAGACTCGGTCCAAGACATTCCTACGTTCATCTCCCTCAAGGTGAACTATCCTTGGAAATAAAATTGGGACGCGTTTGGTTTCTTACTTTAAAATGTGTTTTTTTTTCAGCTAAATACGAATGGTGTGTTGTAATTACAGCTCGTTGTAATGAATTTCATGGGGTATTGGTATATAAATTGAGGATACAGGTAAGCACGAATAGAGTGAAAGGCACAAATGGCGACGGAGGAAGGTGTGCAGGCAGGTGAAGGCGGGAGCAGCTGGCACACGCCGGGCCGCGGCGAGCCAAGTCTGACCTCGTGCACTTCGCTGCCTCCCGCCCCCGCCCGCGCCCCCGCCCGCGCCTCCGCCCCGGCCTATGCCTCCACCATACGCTTTCCTTTATGACTCTAAAACGTCGTCCTTCATATCCTACCGGTCCATTGGCCATGTAGTAAAGGATATCAATATTATCCCATTCGGTAACACCAGCGATATCTTTTCTTACACTGATACTAAGCGGAGTCTGAGAAAACAGGATTTTGTACTTCAGTTCCCCTCCAGGGTACTACGCACGTGCTGCGGTTGCAATCTCAGTCATTAGCCCTTAGCACGTCTTTCGCAACACCGTAGTAGTGACACGCTCTCGGCAACGTGTATTCGGTAGTATGACTGATCGCGTGTCTTAAATCGCCGTAATGCGTTCTGGAGGGTGCACAAAGCAAGGACGCCAACGCCACGTGCTCGGCTGCTCGAGAGGGAGGAAAGGAAGGAGGGAGAAAAGAGAAAGGGAGAGGGAGAGGGAGAGGGGGAGCTGAGGGAGAGGGGGGGGGCAGAGGGAGAGGGAGAGGGGGAGCAGAGGGAGAGGGGAGGGGGAGCAGAGGGAGAGGGGGGGGCAGAGGGAGAGGGAGAGGGAGAGGGAGAGGGAGGGAGGGAGAGAGGGAGGGAGGGAGAGGAGAGAGAGAGAGAGAGAGAGAGAGAGAGAGAGAGAGAGAGAGAGAGAGAGAGAGAGAGAGAGAGAGAGAGAGAGAGAGAGAGAGAGAGAGAGACTATATGTGTGTGTATATATATGTGTGTATATATATATATATTATATATATATATATATATATATATATATATATATATATATATATATATATATATATATATATATATATATATATATATATACATGTTTATATATACAATATATGTAGAAATATATATATATATGTTTATATATATACATATATATACATGCATACACACACACACACACACACACACACACACACATATATATATATATATATATATATATATATATATATATATATATATATATATATATATATATACTGTGTATGTATGTATGTGTGTGTGTGTGTGTGTGTGTGTGTGTGTGTGTGTGTGTGTGTGTGTGTGTGTGTGTGTGTGTGTGTGTGTGTGTGTGTGTGTGTGTGTGTGTGTGTGTGTATGTGTAAGTATCTATGTATGTATGTGTGTGTATATATACATATATATATATATATATATATATATATATATATATATATATATATATATATATATATATATATATATATATACACTGTATATGTGTATGTATATACATATATATACATATGCATATATATATACATACACATATATACATATATATACATATCTATAAATATCTAAGTACATACACACACACACACACGGAAATAGAGAGAGATGGGGGGGAGGGGAAGACAGAGAGATGGAAAGAGAGAGAGAGAGAGAGAGAGAGAGAGAGAGAGAGAGAGAGAGAGAGAGAGAGAGAGAGAGAGAGAGAGAGAGAGAGAGAGAGAGAGAGAGAGAGAGACGCCACGTGGAGCAGTTATAAATATTCATCCGAAGAAGGCCAGTAGAAGTTTACAGTACTGTTTCCTGAATGAAATAAGTCCACAAACATATAGCTGGCGTTTAACCACGTGCGGTCAAAGAAATGTGCCATAGTGCGGTGTTCCGTGCGGCCGTAGTAATCACCTAGTGCTGGGAACTGCCCCCCCCCCCCTTCGTACGCACGCCGGCTCGGTCGGTCACTCGCTGGTCCACATACCACTTACCTACTAATGCCTCCTCGCGCTAAACAAAGGGAACCGGAAGTAAAACATTGATATATTACGGTGGTTCCACCCAATACATGGGCATATAGGATTAGGTCAACATGAATGCTAAAATGAAAAAGTAATACGAGTAACGATATTGCTTTACATCTGAAAGCCAGTGCTAGCAGCTCCTTTCAAGTTTCTTCCATGTGAGCCATCTGTATTTCAATAGATGTATAACGTTTCAAGCCGTCTTGGCTGTAGGCGGTTACGCTCATAAGGCAAATGTCACAGATGATATTTACTTAACCCTTCTGTTAAACGTTACATGGCGCAATACCATAGTTAAAATCATGTTTGTCATGAAATTGCATTATGCGCTACATTACGATGTGCCAATAGCAATTCCTCTACGACTGTTCTCAGCCCAAGTATACAGAATGTTTGGATTTGTTTACATGTTTGTTTACGCGGGGAACCCACATACCAGCGAGAGATTGCATTACTTAAAGCAGATAACCCTAAGGAACTCTCGGAGTTGCCTCTCGTAACTGAAGGGCCACGACTTGAGTCAAGGCTCCAGGGTCCGGCCACATCTGGTCTTCCTTCCCCTACCCCCCTGACCTTGGCCACATGGCACCACTCGCGCCGGTGCACGTGCACAGGCCGTCAACACCCGCAGTGCGAGGCGTCGTCTCACACGTCAGTCGCTCAGCCTGGCTTCCTAGATAACTGCCCTTGTTTAACAAGTGAATTTGTTTATTCTAACCGCCTCGAATAAGCAGCAACGTCCTTCAGAACGAACGTGTTATCTAGCCTCATCCTCTCACAAGTACTTCGATTTGTTTACTCATAGTATAGGGTCGCACTTCTCTGCTTCGGCCATTGTATCTATATAGTTTGTTTCCTCGCCTCGCCCATCGGCCTGCAGCAGACAAGGCCCGAGAGAAGGATTGGCAGCAACGCTTTGTCTGCGTTTCGTCAATCATCCTCGAGAAACATACTCCCAGGGTGACTCACCGCGACTATGCTGGTGTACGATGACTCGCGCTCGACCCGCTGCAAGTTCTCACTTACACTCGAGTATGTCCTCCAAGTAGGCAGTGGCCTACTAAAGATGGAGTCTAAGGTGTCTAAAGGAGAAATGACGGCACGTAAATGGATATTTCTCGCAGACCGAAATTTCTTCTGATGAAATATAATAATCCGATGTCGTATTAATTGTATCATGTTTAAAGAAACAAGAAGAGATGGGACGAAAGCATCAAGATACGTCCAAGTTAATCTAACGGCAGAAAAGTGGCACGGACACGTACCGGACTAACGCAGCGCATGATCGAGTCACGGTGTCAGGGAGACGCGGGTCCGGGTGCCTCTCGAACCCCGTCCTCCTCCGCCATAACTGGACATCATCACACCGCATGCTGATATTTGTATATCTTGTGCTAATGGTGTTATCCTGCGCACAACATCGAACCAAAATGCCTTGCGACAGAGTTTTTCCTTTTTCATTCCCCTTTCCCTACTCCTTTTCTCCTTCCTCCTCTTCCTGTCGCCGTCCCCTACTCTATCTGCCCTATCTGTCCTCCTCCTTTCCTTCTCTTCATCGCACTCTTCGTCCATTGCCGCTCCTTTCCTCCACCTCCCATCTTCCTCTTCTCAATCTCTCCCTTCCTTTCCTCCTCCCCATCATCTTCCTCTCTTCCCCTCTCGCCCTATCCCCCCTTCCCCTTCTCCCTCCTTCAAAAAGAATGCTGGAAGGAACACGTTTCCCCGTCTTCTAAGCTCAAGACCCCGGGACTACCTGCACTAAAATCTCGGTTTGAATTCCACAGCGTGGTATTTGTTTTCTTAAGAGCAAGAGTGCGAGCGTCTCCCTCCTAAAAGCGCGCGGGCTGAGTCAACTCTTCTTTGGTACGGCTCTGTGACATGGCTCCATGACATAGCTATGTGGCATGACTATGGGGCATGTGTGGGCCGCATGGGAGCCAAAGCCACTG